CCCTATTATGGAAAACATGGCACTAAGCAGCATATCCATGGAAAGCCAATTAGATTTGGATACAAATGTTGGTCGATTTCTACGCGACTTGGCTACTTGATTTATGGCGAGCTTTATCAGGGAGCTAGTACCGGAAATACGCATCCTGAGTTAGGTGTTGGTGCCTCAGTTGTTTTGGACCTAATATCGAAGCTTCCGCAAGGTAGCTACAGTTTTTATTTCGATAATTTTTTTACATCATTACCACTGCTTGAAGAGCTTCAAAAAATGGGTCACGATGGAACGGGGACTATACGAGCTAATCGAACTGAGAAAGCACCTCTCAAAGATCCAAAAGAAATGAAAAAAACAAGTAGAGGATCTTATCACCAATGTACTGATGTACTATCTAATATCACTCTCGTTAGATATAACGACAATAACATTGTCACAGTGGCCTCGACTCAATGTGGTTCAGAACCCATAAGCAAAGTCAAACGATACTGTGATAAGCAGAAGAAGGATATTGACCAACCTCGTTGCTTCGTAAAATACAATAAATATATGGGGGGCGTAGACCGACTTGACCAAAACGTGGGTTGTTATCGAATCGGGATTCGGCTGAAAAGATGGTACTGGCAGTTACTTATGTTTCCACTAAATGTTGCTGTCAATAACGCTTTTCAGCTGTACAAGATATCTCCAGCTGCAAAGAAAAGTAACGGTACGCCACATGATCTTTTATCGTTTACGAGGGATATTGTTTGTACATATTTTCTAATGAAAAATTTAGTCCCTAGTACTTCAACCATATCAAATCCTAAATCTTCACTAGCAGTAATAAAACGTGTGCCTGATGCTGTTAGATTAGATGGTAAAGGACATCTAATTGACAAACAAAATAAACAAACTCGATGTGGTTTATGCCACAAAAATACAACTATGAAGTGTATCAAATGTAATGTTGCCTTACATAACAAATGTTCTATTATTTTTCATACTGAATAACATGCCTAATAATAGTTTTTTTATGTAATAACTATAATATGTAATAAATACGTTAATTTGTATAAGATTTAATAAATAAAAAAGGTGAATACTAGTTTTATTTCCAAACGGATTCCATAGCCAGTAAAAGTATCTTACATGCATGTATAATCCTAGTGTTCCATTATTGGATCGGTTCTGAAACTAAAAATCTAAATGAGATATATTTTTTTTTGACAAATAGGTTTCATTAGACATCTAAAAATATGCCCAGATTCGATTTTCATAAATATTGGATATGTTTTACTATGGTTGGGATGATACGAGTTAATTACATTTCGTAGTGTTTCACGTCCATAAAAAGAAATACTTGTAATGTTGTAAAAAATACGTCTCTATAATAATGTCGTTAGAAAATAAAATGAACAAAAGCCATTGAGTGCTGAGCACATTACCTATGTAGGTACGTCCCACGTACACCCATCTACTAAACAAAAAACTTCCGACTAGTATATAATAAACAGAATCTCAATGAATATGACACTTAACAACTTAAGCGGAAGTCCTTCACTCAGAAATAGCGAAAGAACTGTCTCTAAATTCGGAGCACATTATATTTGACGCGAGATAACGAGAGAGACAACCCTTTGCGCGTAAATTGTTACTCAAGAAAAGAAGGAAAAAAGGTTCGTTTCTACATTAGATACTAAAAGGAGAATACGTTCTTAGAGGGGCGTATAGTTAAATCAATTTGGGCGGGTCGCACACATAGCGATACATTCACCCCGAAGAAAATATTCGTTTATACGACGTTTGGCCTTCAAAGCTTTTGTTTTCGATCGCTTTCAGGATAGGGCTTCTTAGATCATGTTACGTGATTTAAAACTTAGACGTTCACTTTGAGGTTTACAATATCTAAGTTCACGCATTCACAGTTCTAAGTATATTAACTTACTAAGTGGAGCTTAAAATACTCACATTTCAACTTCAATGTCGGTTTTAAACTCAGACATGAAAGTCATAAGGTTTATTCATTTTTACCTTGAACAAATCTCTAGGTCTATTTTAAAATCGAAACCCCATTCATAATTCAGCTGCTTTTCTTCTAAACAAATCACAGGCAGTCGGAAATAGATTTTCGATAAATAAAACTGACTTCAAACCCACGAAGCTAGAACAATATTTGGACTAGCGAAATCAATTTCCTAGAAAGCTTTATGAAAATCCAGGACCGGACTATTGTGTTCCGAAAAGGCTGGTTGGCGGGTGGCTACTGATAGTATTATTTGCACTCTTTATTTCACGCTCCGATACGGCCCTTTGATGGGGCAAATCAGCCATTGATGTGTAGTGACGTGTTAAGCAAATCACTCATACGACTGACCATTACGAGATTCCATTTTGTTCCGCAACCATTACAAAGCGACCCTGGTTGGATATTAAATAACATTAAACCGTTTTGAATGTTCCAGGAAAATACTTTTTATTAAATTATGAATGACGTAGCTTAGATGTCGAAATTTTTATTTGGGCTATAAAATGTTACAAGAAATTTTCCACATTATAGAAAAACTACATTAATAGGACTACTAGAACCGAAACAGTGGGATTTGAATCATTATTTCATTACGCCAAAGCGCGCCGTGGTGGAAACCCCACCAACCTTATCGGGCTAGGCTTCGATAATGGATCTTAATTACGTTTCTACTTAAATCATGGATTAGTGCTAATATAACCACGATTATCTGAATCCAATCTAATCTCCTGAGCTTTGCTAAGCAAGCTATAAACTAGTGAGCTAGATTTGGTTTTAATATGTTACTCAAAGCTACTCCATTGAACGCCTTACTTAGCAACCATTCAGCGTGAAATTCATTAGTCTATATTCAGCGTAGTTTAATTCGATTTTCTATATGCAATGTAGGCTACAGTCACACGTAACTAAATGCATTATTCGTGTAAAATGATATATATGGAATATGTATGTTATATTGATGTGTACTCGCACTGAGAGATTAATATTATTTGTCTCTATAAAGAAGAAATTGGTTATCTCGTCAAATAGGTTTCTTCTATCTACCTTCGACTTTACTAGAACCTTCACCATGACCATTTGCTCATGAAGTAAGTATATGTCGAGCCTACGTGGCTAAAAGCGTATTTAACAATATACACCTAAAGATGTTTTAGTATTTAAAGCGGAGATATAATAAAAAATATGTTGCTCCGTCGTGTCGCCAACGGAGGGACTCTTCATACAGATAAAGCCCTCTTTATTGTCTTCTGTAATTGAAAGGTCGGAGGTATTTCCCTCTCCGAGCTTTTAAATGTGTCTCAGCTGGGCCCCGCTACGTAAAATAGCATTTTGGACCTCAATACATTAGAATTTCACAATTGTTAACTTTATTCCGTTTATTTTCGGTTGAAATTAGTTTTATTGTTGTTCTAATGGCAACTATTAAGCGAAATCAATGTTTATTTGGCTATAAATTGGAGTGAACAATTCGTAAAGTTGAGCACTGAAATCGACGGGTAAAGGATGCAGTATTAGAAGTATTAGCAGGTTCGTTTTCTTTTATTTTGTTTTAACGGAGTTTTTGGCTTGTTGCCAAGTATCTGTGTTACTCTGGAGACTTGTTAGTTTGCTCATCAGGAACTTAGCATCGGTTATTTTCTTTATGAATACTTCCATACAGTACCGAATATTATTTAAGACAATTACAATAAAACGATTTTTGAAGTAGCACTAATCTCATATGACCCGAAATATCCAGAATTTTTATACCTACCTCATAAGTTCCTCAACACCTCCGCACGTCAATCTCAAAGATCATCGTTTAAATCCCACGCATGTAATGAGATCGTATACCAGTAGCTAAACGATTTACCCTTTCACTTTCACGGAAAATTTCAAAACACAGACTTTGTGGAAATGTCAACTGTTGCTGAGTTCCTAATCGTTTTAACATCGACACCAATGTTATACTCTAACACATATTTTATTGAGATAACAGCATTGAAAGCTTAAGGGCATCATTATTCATTCCAGTTATTCAAACACATTTTATCGATGATAAAATTTTTACAGGTGTAGTCTCAAAGAACTGGGTCTCGAGAAATGATGCCAATCTTTCTTCGCAACAAGTTAAAATAACTCAAACTTTCAATGTTTTCAATGTAACCGATATTTTCTTAGGTATCGCATTTCTTACTTTTCTTGGAATAGATAGAACAATAGTGTCGTCATTTCATTTTTGAACATAAACGTTAACGGTTTTGATCGCTAAGTAGGTCGGGACAAAACAATTTCCGACGGGAACTGTCTCATCAACCTAAACTTGAATAAGACAGTGGTTAATTAATATAAGAACACAGATTTATACTTATTTAAGGTTCAAGAAAATTTCTGAAAACAACAATATTGTTGTAATGAATACCGGAACAAGATTTCCATTCTAAGAGGCTGAGAGAATTGCGTGGGTTCGCGCGTAATTTAATGTTTTGTTTAGTAGCTGGAGAGGTTGGAGACTATTGATAGACGGATACCTTGTACATACAAATGATGAATAAAAGGGTCTTGTGATATAATAGTTAGTTACAAATGACATACAATCATTATGGGTTGTTAATAAGAAAACCTCTAATTCGAAAGTTAAAAGACTAGCTGATACGAACATCAGGTTGTCTTCGAAATGAAATGATATTAATTTCTGTAAGTAATACTTTTACGCATCATTCTTTAAAATACTAGATGAGAGCCAGCATTTCCTAACTGACTACTCTGAGAAGAAACATCGAAACAAACTCAGAGGTCATTGTCTCTTTTAAAGTCCAGACATATTATAACTATAATGTGCTTTGAAACGACATTGTGATACCTACATATGGTGCACTATAAAACTTGTAGGCAATAAATATATTTTTATTTAATATCCATGCATAACAATCAATGTGTAAGATTGTCAAAAAAACCTTATAACCATTAAAATTTTAAATTATGCATTTATTAATTTACCTTTTCTCTTTGTTCACAGCGAGTGACCTAGAATCAATACGAGCACTTTTCAATGAGAAAGAGAAAGAATTATCAGTGGCGGTGGCCAAAGTGGAGGAGTTAACGAGGCAGCTGGAAGAGTTGAGAAGAGGAAGAGTACAACCAGCGCCACCATCAGCTCATGAGCTGGACAAGCTGCGTCGGGAGTTAATGGTAAGTCTTATTAGAAGGTTATGGTGACTTCTGGTGAAGTCTTGCGAATTCTACGTGACTAGATGTAGAAGTCAGATTATTTTATAGACAGAATTTGTACTTTATCTAAAATAATTCCACATATTCTTTATGTGTAGTACATTATACTCAGGGAAAAGTTTATTTATTTTACTAACTAGCCACCCGCCCCGTCTTTACATGGGTGCAATATGCAAGTATTATACCTACATATAAACCTTATTTAAGAATCACTATCTATTTAAAAAACCGCATCAAAATCCGTTGCGTAGTTTTAAAGATCTGAGCATACATAGGGACAGACAGACGACGGATAGCGACTTTGTTTTATACTATGTAGTAATGTCGTTGTGGAGGTACCCACCTGCTACAAAATTATGAAATTGAAAATAGAAAAAAAAAATATTATAATGTTAGTTATTGCTCTATATGTTTAGAATACGGTATTTATTTACAACACATATCTAAAATTAACTCGTCGAGCACTTGACATATAGACACAAATAAAGAACAATAGGTTGCGGTCACCGGTGACCGCTTGGTGTTTGACAGTTTAATAAACAAAAATGAAATACAGTAAACTTCAGCTGTACTTGTCATAATATTGTCACGTGCGTGTCTTGGTGTCTCACAGCGATACAGTTGACAGGCAAATATGGATCATGTTATGACTTCACAACTACCTTTACATTGGGCTGTTATTATTATCTTTACACCTTTTACGACATCCCAGACAAGGGTTGTTACGATGTATTGCGTATAGTATCGTGTTAAAGTTAAGGTAGATAGGGCGTTGTAATAGTTCGGCGAAAGTAGGTGCTTATTCTTACTAATAAAAATATCACTGAACTAGTGACGTCACCTCGTTCTTTTGCGGAAAAAATATTGATTTTTGTCGCTAGAGATGTCTCGTGTCGGATATTTTCTATGAGCACAATAAAACTAGTGTCTTTTGGCTTAGCGATTTAGTTGAATAGAAAGCAACAATAACAGTGAAGGCTAATATTTTACTCAAAGCAACATTATCTAAAACAGACATACGCTTCGTATCTTCATTAATTAATTAAGATAAAATAAATAGCTGTCGGAACTTCGGGTCTCCATTAAAGACGAGGAAGCAATATTTTAACTTTACAAAGCGGTTGTAAATAGATCATTGTTCTTATAATTTCCAAAAACAATACTTCGAAGAAAGTTGCAGGGAAATTTTGCAGACTCAGCTTACCTTACACCTGGTTAATATACGATTATGACAGGCCTAAACAAAATGTTCAAGTTCACAAATAATTTTATGGGTTCTATAGGTATACGGCAAGAGATTGGATGATGTAGCCATACTATTGTAGGTAGTGCTTTTTATAATGTCCGAATGTAGTTTATTTTTTATTTTCTTAATCATCTCGAAGCTTGGCTCAGTTTTTAAAATTTAATGAATTTCTTCATTTTAATGGTCAGTCTTAACCCTAATCCTTTAAGTAATATTCTACCTTTAGCTATAAACCTACGCCCAAAGCCGAAGGCTAAAGCTAGTAGTAAATAAACTTTTAGGGGATCCCTCGTCACAAGTCCCGTCAGTCAGTGTCAGTCACTGCAACTGACTGAAGGGCAATTATTATCGAAAATGTAATTAGGACAATGGAACGTCAATACGTATTTCTTTTTCTTTTTTGTGTGTTACTTTAAATTCGGAATGTGAATATTTGCGCGCGTAAATTGAACATTTCTTTTTTCAAATTCAAATCCCGAACGCGTCGTGTTAATGAACCTCTTTTTGGTAACAGATAAAAAGAAACGTCTTTCTTTATTATCACAGTTCTTGTATTTGTTCTCTACCAAGTGATAAAACATTTTCTATCTACGTTGATATATTACTATCTTGGTCGACGGCAGTATACGAATCAATCAATCGAATACCAGAATAGAATAGAGGCCGACTTTTTCAAAAAGGTTATGGTGATTGATTTATTCAACCTTTGCGGAACGAATTGACACCATGACCTATTTAAACCCTTCAAAATATTATTATTAAAGACGTTAAGATGAAAAAATTGGTTTACCTACATTTAAATAAAACATGCAACCATGATTACTCTTAAAAACGTCTACTTCAGATGTCTACTGCCAAAAAGTCGTCAACATCATCAAACACACTTCCAAACCATTTCCACAAACTACTTATTCCTTTTTCAAACTTTTTCTTTTTATTAGACGCCTGATAATAGACGTCAAACAAAAAGGTTTTGATGGTCAATAACACCGGCCGGTAACAATATAATAAAGGTGATGATCCCATTCACCTGGGAGATGCCTCGGATAGCTAACGAGATCGCTAACACGGGGACACACTGTAATATTTGTAGAGAGAGTGTCCCGCCAAGTAGGTTGCGGGCAGTCGGTCGGTTGAACCCGCATCTTGGACTTGATAGTTTGGTCACTATTCTGTTCGCTTTTTGTTTATGAATTTGTTTTGTTCTTTTTTTAAAATGTGTTTGTTGTTTGTTGTTTGAGGGTTATAAGGAAGGAAGACAACAACGTAATTCTTGAGCATTGTATTGTGTGCCTAATTGCCTATGTAAATTATATTGTGTAGAATTAAATTTAATCAAGAGTATTATATGTACGATATGTATAGTTGTGAATGTTTGCCAAATTGATAGCAATGAATTTGAAAGGATCTTAAAACTTCATAGTTTACAGTTCATGACAATAATTTTACGTAAGGACAAATATTTCTAGCAATTTCTGAATCTAATATTCATAAGTATGTCGCAATAAAACTTCTATAGACCGTCAAAAACAAATCAAAATACAATAAAATATATTATTTATATGAAGTCGAGATTTGAGAATAGGCCCTGTGTACCGACGACATAAAACTCGCGCGACTGGCTCAGATGTATTGCCAAAGAAACAATATTGAATTCGTCGAACTGGAATAATGAGACATGCGTCTAACAAGACTCTTGGTCTCCGTATATTTTCTGAAGACGTTGTATAAAAACATCGAACGCCTAGTACATTATCGGGAGAAATAATATAGTATCTTCAAGGAGGAAAAATAAAAGGTAATATTCGTGAAAATATCTTTGTGTACCGATAGTTAATCTCGTAAACGGGTTGAATTGACAGTCGTTGCGGCGTGACAGCTGTGTAGACTGTAGATAAAGTAAACACGCTGAGAGACAGAAAACGAAAGGATTTCATTGAGCGTGTCACAGAATACAGAAGGCGTTGTTGTGCCTACTGAAGACTAAATAAAGACAATAATTTATTCTGTTCTATAGAATATAATGGTCTATAAAGACTAAATTTTATTAAATGTATAAAATTGTATGGTGCAGTTTTCTTTTGTCTCTTTTGATGGGATAGGAAACAAACAAGTAGACAGATCACTTGATGGTCGTGATGATAGGAGATTATCGACGTCCATGAATAACCGCAACACCAAGGGACTGACGAGACCTTTACCGACTTTAAAAGCCTAGTGTTCAGTTAATTGTCGTGGAGAACCTAACGGGTTACCGGGGCTCCGGCTCGACGTGCAGGAGAGGGAACGGGGTGGTTTTTAGTCAGTTAGAGTCTCACACTCCCTCCCACCTCACCCAGGCGGGAGCAGCCTTTCGATGATTTTCCCCCCTTAAAAAAAAAGTGTTCAGTTTTTTATTTCGTTCTATGTAAACAATTTATACCTTGGCTACTGTCAACGTTAACGTTAATCAAATTCGACCCTGTATAATCGTACTCTTTAAATCAAGACCTTGTCCCCAGCTGTTTAATCCACTCACATCAATAAACGATAAATTAATAATCTGATTCTATCATAAATTGTGGATTAACATGAAAACAACAAGTCTTAATTACAGATGCACATAGCAATATATCACATACGAGATAAATTATGTGTTAATTAATTTATTAGACGGCTAAATAATATTTTGACCGTGGTACACGTTCGATAGGGACAGTGCTAACGTATTTGCGATACGTAATTAGGTAGACGATACGTGCTGGGAGATAGGGCTGAATATATTGTTTGTGATATTGTTTAGTTTTGCAAAATTGTAACAGAGTTATTTCATAGTAATTATACTGATACTAGAAAATAGCTCACTGGGCACTGGTTGCAAGTGCAAGTCGAGCGACAACTCTTGGTCTTGATTTCAGTCCAAAGCTTAAGAATCATGAATTTTATGTATTGATGTAGTATGAATTAAAAATAAGTTCGCTCGCGGAGAGTACATAAGTTAGTCTCTAATTTAATTTCTTCACAAAATATGTTAATATTACAATAAAAACTTTTTATTATTTTTTTTTATTTATTCAGAAATTCGGATACATCATTTTATAAGCTTGCTACGTGAGTTTTCTGCAGTGATTGACCAGTGAATAGTTCACTGTTCACTTTAGTATATATTTTTTCCGTAAGGTGCATGTAATTGAAGCTGATTCAATACTAAACGTTCTGACTGTTCTGAGAGATTAAATAAAAAACTAAAAATTATCTTTTTTATTTACTAAAACGATGTACAATAAATGAGATTTCATGTTCCGCCTATTTTGGTGGTTGGATAAAAATATAACAAATGCGTATAGAACACAAACGCCTTCTATTCATATTGTTTGTACTTACTTTTGCTTGATCTTATTAAATGCGCGTCGAACATTTATGATGAACGATAGTGTTTTAGTAAAATTTATTGTGTTAGTCGGCGATTACTGCCTACTTTAGTAATTCATGGTGTTATATGTGATCGAGCTGTGTGTAAGATGTGAGGCATTTTTTAAGTATTTTATATTAATTTAATGTTATATAATACTGAAAATTTACGAACCAACCCTACAAATAGCGAGTACAACTAGACCTACGTCACGGACTAATTTCGCCAGTGAGTCTAATGCCAACATTTTGATTCAGTTCAATTTGACAATTTAGTTACCGACGCGACATTCAACCGGCCTAATGTGCATCCATTGACCTTAAA